CCAGGTGGGTCTCGAACCTGCGGGCTCAGGCAATCCACTCACCTCAGCCTCCCAAAGGCGTGGGATTACAGGCTGAGCCACCGAGCCCGGTGCCCATCTCTTAATAAATCCTAAACTACCCAAAACAATCACCATAGAATAACTATTAACATAGAATAACTATTAACTTTTACTTTAGTCTTAATCTTCTTCACAGATTTTTTTGTTTTTATTGTTAATGTGGGGGGGAAAAGGTACTCTTTTCCACTGCTAGTAGCAGTATAAATTAACAAAATCAAGATGGAGGCCATTTTAAGCAATATATATTGATGACTTAAAATGTTATGCATTGTTCAGCTTAGTACATGTGCATTTAGAATTTCATCCCAAAGAAATAATTATGAGGATGTGCAAACACTTAGCTGTCACAGCACAGATCATGATAGTGAAAACCTAGAGACAATTTAAAAGTCTAAAAAGAAGACATCAGATGAAATAAATTATAATAATACTAGCATTACAATGATGCCATAGAAGAATATTTAATAACATGGTTCATAATGTTAAGTGAAACAAGCAAGTTACAGAGCAGTATAACATACTTTTTATGCTCATAAAAAATGACTGGAGGGACATAAACCCACATGTTATAAATATTGGTTTTCTCCAGGTGGTCAAATCATGGGGGAAATTTTCTTTCTTACTTGCATTCTTGCTTCTGATCTATATTATTTAAATGATGTATACTATTCATGTGATTGCAAAGGTAACAATAAAATATATATACATTTAAAAGCATTAACTCCGTTTCCTGTATTTTGTTATGGCAAATGTCCAATTTATTTTGTTCTATTTCCTTTGTCTTTTGGAGCTGAATGTCAAACCAGGGCTGTTCCTCTAAATTTTAAGGTCTACCATATAGTCTATGAGGTGTCCACTATATCTGAATATTCAATAATTATTGGAAAATGATGCCAAAGAAAGCATTGTTTATATTTCTAGTTAGAAATGTCATTCTGAGTTTGTAAAAAAGATGCAGATATTTTAGCTTATAATTGAATGCATGCATCAGGGTTAATTAGCAATGGTTCAAATTACAGACCACTGTGGTTTCTTGTACAACTAACCATCAATTAGCTATAATAATGAGAAAATCAGGAAATGATTGCAGGAGAAAATGAAATCAGTAGGTAAAAAAGAAAAACAACTCCTTTTAGTCTCTAGTTTTGGCCATCAATTGTCAAAACTTACCAGAATAACTTAAATATACATAAATCTTAACCTCTTTTGGAAGCAGATGGGATATTAATTTTTTAAAGTAATGTTAATTCTTTAGAAGTATTTTTCTTTTCTGGACTATCCTTCAGAGAAACCATACCCCAATAATAAAATGACCCAATTATTAGCAGCAGGAAACTGAGTGACACAAGATTAGTCAGTGGTTCTAATATAATCTGTAGGGGAGCTTTAAAAAAAATCAATATAGAGGCCTCACTCCAGACCATCTAAATCAGAATCTCTGTGGAAAGTGCTTAATTAATCCATAAGATGCATAGCATATGTCAAATTGATTCCAGCTGTTGAGTATTTGCTTTACTCTGAGTTCACTGGTTGGACAGTAAGTGTCTGTGGTAAATCACCTCTGGTGCTTTCCTCCTCAGCCCAATCACTCCATATACAGGTAGAAAGGACAGTCTTAAAAGTGTCTTCTACTGACATAGTATTTTTAAATGCCTTCCTAATGGCTCTTTTCTATGTCAAGGGTTTGGATGATTTTCTCAAAAGGAAATCTTTGTATGAGGAAATACAAGTCACCTTAGCAGTATCTACCTAGTGCCACAATAGATATTTGGACACACACACACACACACACACACACACACACACACACACAAAGAAAATAAATCACTGAATGGAAATTGCAGCTCCTAAGAGAGCTCTAGATGCCAGGATCATGGAAATTGTTGTAAATTCCATTTGTTCTGTCCTGAGAAAAACTGTGATCTTTTGAGCTGTACTTCTCTTTTACTTTCCCTAGATTTCACTTTTAAAACTTTCAAAAATCGCTGGGTGCAGTGGTTCAAGTCTGTAATCCAGCACTTTGGGAGGCTGAGGCGAGAGGATTGCCTGAGCTCAGGGGTTTGAGATCAGCCTGGGAAACTTGGTGAGACCTTATCTCTACAATGAATCAAAAAATGAGCCAGGTGTGGTAGCATGAGCCTGTAGTTCCAGCTACTTGGAAGGCTGAGATGGAAGGATCGACTGAGTCCAGCAGGTGGAGGCTGCAGCAACCACGAGAATGCCACTGCACTCTAGTCTGGGCTATAGAGTGAGACTTTGACTCAAAAACAAAAAACAAAACAAAACAAATCACCATAGTTTGCATCATATGCATATTATATAAAGTTTTAAAATAGGAGAATTACAAATAGCAAAATTAACATTATCCATGAGCTTCCCTCCTCCTCACTCCAGAAAGAAATAAAATTAATATCATTAGTGTATATTCTTCCATTTTTTTCTATGTGTAGAAACATGTGTTTCATTTTACAGAATGAATTCATAACAGATGAATTCATAACTTGCTTTTTAATCTCAACTTTGTTTTGATAATTTTTTTGTCACCAGCCTTCAAAATCAAGATTTCTGTGTATGTATCAAAATTCAGCACAGAGATTTACCATAATTTGTTTAACCACTTCTCTAACTAGATGATTATTGCTTCTGAAATTTGCCTTATTTTGTCTTTTTTCAGTATTTATTAAAGAACGAAACCAGTCTTCAACCTGGTGAGTTCATTCAGATTAATCTTCCTGACTGATGTTTGATATGTATCCAATAATTTCCCAGGGCCACATATAATAACTGCGGAGACTGAACCCTTTCTCCTCTCTTCTTCTACACTTTTCTCCAAGTTTTGTACCCAGCACTCTCCCCATCAGTGACATTACTTTTCTTCTTTTAACCTAAGCAACACTCTTCAAAAATCCTGAAGTTTATTTCACCATTTTCCAAATATGTATCCATGGAAGATTAAACATTTTAGTAGCAAACTTACATTGAGTGTTTGCTGTGTGTGTTGTGATAGTAGGCTTAAATGAATTTTTTCATTCAATCTTTATGACAGTAATTCAAAAACCAAATTCTACTATTATTCCCATTTTAGAGTCCAAGAAAGTGAAGCTTCTTTTAAAGTAACTTGCCCAATATCACACAACTAGTAAGAGGCAAAGCTAGGCCCTGAATCCAGAGCTGTTTTCTTCTAAACTATTTTTTTTATCGTTGTCAACTAAAGTTCATATATTTATCTAAATTTTCTTAATTTTCATCTAATGTCATTTTCTGTTCCAGGACTGTATCCAGGATAAAACACGACATTTATTCATCATGTCTCATTAGAGTCCTCTTGGCTATGACAGTTTCTTAAACTTTCCTTGTTTTTTCTAAGCCATTAAAAAAAACACAGTTGGTGCTCATCATCTACAACACCATTGCAGCTACAACTCATTGTGAATTAAAGTGTGGCTCTAATCTTCACAGAAATCCTCCAAAGCAAATATTATTATCCTCATTTTATAGATAAGAAAATGAAAGCTTAAAGAGATGAAAACTAATAGTGCATATCCCAAGCTAGTAAAGCTGGAACTGGGATCCTGACCCAGGATTATCTGGCTATCATTGTCATTTCTTTTTTTTTTATTGCACTAGTTTAGATGGCTTGTACTCACACAAGAAAATAAATCACTGAATGGAAATTGCAGCTCCTAAGAGAGCTCTAGATGCCAGGATCATGGAAATTGTTGTAAATTCCATTTGTTCTGTCCTGAGAAAAACTGTGATCTTTTGAGCTGTACTTCTCTTTTACTTTCCCTAGGTAGTGGAGGGGGTCCAAAGCTAATAAAACAAGGCGGCCACAGGTCTAAGAGCACATGGTCAGACCACAGCTTAGCAGAGCAATGGCAGAGAGAGAGAAAGAGAGAGAGAGAGAGAGAGAGAGAGAGAGAGAGACTCACCTTCCCAAGGTAGGTGAGGGGACCAAAGCTTGCCTGACCATAGTGCAAAGAACACATGGCCAGACCATAGCTTAGCAAAGCAATGGCTGCATGTGGGATTTTTATAAATACACTTGAATGTTAACATCAGAATCAGAGTCATAAAGAAGCTCTCTATCTACTTCAACATTCTTATCTAATATCCAAGCTCCATTATGCAAAAAAAAAAAAGGTTCTAAGCGCATGGTCAAAAGCCATCAGTGTAGTTTGTTTACTCTTTCACAAAGCGCCCAGTCAAATTTTGAACTGTCTTGATGATTAGAAAGCTCTGTGTCCCTCCAAATGATTTTTGTCCTTTGGTCTTAATATGGCTTTTAGGAGCCAAGCACTGTCCCCTAAGCCTTCCTAAGAACTTTGCAGTCAACACTGTCATCCACTAGCTTCTCTTTTCTTGGCTGTGGATAGCTCATTTTATATTTCCCTCACCATCCTAAGGAGGCTACATGAAACCACAGTGACTTGCGGTGTCTCCATTTGTTTGTAAGTCCGTATACTGCATTATGGTACAGCAATGCGCACATCCTATACAATCCGGGCTCAACAATTGCAATTGTCTGACTCCTTGTAATCTCTTTCCACCACAACTGTCACCCTTCGCCACCTCCCCGCCTCCAACATTTCTAAATCTTCAGATCCAAAGGGCCCTAAAACTGACACTTCTTCCTACCCTTTAAATGAAGCAGCTCTTCCTAGAAAACCCCTTGAGACACAAGTTTGGAAGGTGAGTCAAACGTAAGAAGGATGTTTTCTCTGAGTTTGACAAACAAGTTAAAGGGCAAAGGCAGTGAGCCGTGGATGCCTGGAGACAGCTTCTTTCTTCCCGAAATCCCCCACAGCGCTGAGACAGACAGCTCCCCTGCGGATCTGCCAGGACAGCGCGTAGGGCGGGGCAGGGATCGACGCGCCGGGAGCCGGGCGGGCATCAAGCCGCTGGTTTAACTGAGAGTTCGGGGTCAGGGCTGAGGCTCAGCGACGCTACAGTCGTCTCCCAGCCGCCCTCGCTCTCACATCACCGCCAGACATCCATAGTTCATCAGAAATCAAAAGAAGCAGGCGAGGGAGTCAGGAAATATCGGGAAAGAGTCGTACCAAAGCTGTCCAGGTGCTTGGCGCGCAGGTGCCTCGTCTTCGATTCAATACCATGGACAGCGCCCGCGAACTGACTGGAGGACGCTTGAACGCGGTTGGCTTCTGGCAGGTCTGGCATCGCTTTGACGCGGATGGTGAGTAGAACTCAGGTGTAGACGCGGTTCCGCTCCCAGCACGCTGAAAGGAACTCGACTTTCCCCTGTACCTGCGCTGTTAATGCAGTATGCCTATTGCACTCTACGTCTTGTATACTGGGGTCACACATGTAGATACTTGGTGGAAATTCAGCGAAGGAGAAGCGATTTGTCCTGCTCCCCAATCTCTTTGTGTGTGTACCCGCGCGAGTGTGTAATGATACACCTATATATAATGGCACACCGTACATATAATGACAAGCATCACTTGATATACATGTATGGACTGAGGCGTATGGACTGAGGCGTATGGACTGAGACTCAGCAGTCTGAAGTCAGCCTTCCCTAAATGTGCTCATTTTACCCCGTGATTTGTTGTACACTAACTCCCTGAAAGGGAGGATGAATTGCATCAACTTTCAAAACACCCTCCCCACCAAAAAACTACTTGAATATGAAATGGGACTACTTAACATTTGCTTTTTTTTTTTTTTTAATTTACAAAGAAACATGAAGAAATTATCTAAAGGGTGTGTTTCAACCTTGCAAACGAGGATTCAGTTCTTACATCTGTTAAGTTTTTCCAAGCTCCAGAAATTCTTGGGGTAAATTTTATTGTAAAGTTTATGTTTATTTATTGATTATAATTCATATATTTAATAGCTTTCTTTTTCTGAATTCTAAATTAATTTCATGTATTTAATAGCTTTCCTTTTCTGAATGCTTTGAACCCCAGCATAAAGCATTTACTCTGGAACAGTGTTTACTGTTTAAATCCATGTTCTTTTAGAGGTGGATGCTGGCACTTTGTTATTGGAAGAACAAAGAATAACATCCATAGGGAGTCTATATATTGTGGGATTAAACATAAATTTGGATAAATACTAAATGCCATGTTATTCTGTATAAGTGACTATTATTTATGTGTGTCTTCTTACATTTAGAAAAAGGTTACATAGAAGAGAAGGAGCTTGATGCTTTCTTTCACTACATGTTGATGAAATTGGGTACTGATGTAAGTACTTATGCACTAAGCATTAATTTATGTCCCTTAGTAAAATACAAGCATCCAAGTCTTATGTTGATTTGTATCTATTAATTCCATCTGACCTCCTTTCTTCCTTGCATGCATGTGATTTTTCTCCTCCTAGCAACATGGAGGGATTTAAGCAGGTTTTATAAAAGGCACAATTGTAGCATTAGACATCATGGTCACTGACTTTCAGTGTAACATCTGTCATCCACTCAGATATACTAACTGGAGACCTGGTCATCTCGGTTTTGAATATCTCCTTGGTTATATCTCTGCTAATTGATTTATACCTGGAGATAAAGTAAGGTACTTTGTTCAAAAACGTGGAAAAGATGTTAAGCACTTTAAGGTTGTGGGTATTTAGTACTTATGGTACTTTTTTGATAGCAACTTACAAACAGACCATTGAAAATTATGATTTTTTCATTATTCATTTTATTAGAAGTGGTTACAGATTTCTTAGGAAATGATAAACAGAAAATAACTGACAGGTCTAGAGTCCAGATATAAATGTGAACACATCTCTGGTGTCCATATCTCTCTGATGGTAAATTTGACGATAAGAGATGGAGATGAATTCTTGAAGATCTCTGTACCAAAGCACAGAAGACAAAAAAAACCTCACACAGGGACACATGATCTGAGGTTAGCCTGGGGATGTGCTCTATCTGGTGAAAACTCCAACAAGGTGTGGAAGAGTAGCTCTGGGGACAGTTGCATCTAAATTAGTTATGGAGACAGTTTATCCTCAGATTTAATTTGTTTATCTGGAAGAACATGTATCTGAAGTACATTGCTTTCTCATGTAAGAGCTCAGTGAGGGGAATAAGGAACTTTCCCACCATTGTTGAGAACATGGGAAGGGTGTTGAGGGCAGAGGAAAACCAGCTGAGAAAAAAAAAGAGACTGGCATCTGCCCCCATCAGCACACAGACTTCTGGGTCTCCCTCTATGTCTTCCTGTCTCTTATATTCTGTCTCTTTTTTTAAACATCTGTCTTTCTCATTTTTCTGCTCATTTCTGTTTCCCATCTCTGTGTTCACAACTCTCATCTCCCATTGTCTCTGGCCTTTCTCTCTGACCTTTCTACCTCTCAGTCTCTCTTGCCTCTTTCTGACCTTTGTCTACATCTCATCTGTTTCTCCATCTCCTTTTCTCCTTTTCCCCCTTTCTGTCTCTAGTCTCTCTGCTGCTCAAAGCTCTCTCTTCTTTCTATATCTTTTATTATCTTTTCTTCTTCCTTTCCTATCTCTGTCTCATCTTTTGTATTGCCTTTCATTTCTTTTATCAGCTTCTCCTCTCCCCTCATGTTTGTCTCTTTTTTTGGTCTCTCATCTCTCTCTTTGTGTACCTTTTATTGTTCTTTGTCTGTCTGCCACCCCCAAACCCTGTGCATCTTGTGAGGTGAAGGGAGCAGCAGATGAGTGGGATGGAGACACAAGTACCTTGTTTGCTCTGCTCAGACTATTTGCATGTACTTCTCTTTATCCTGCCTTCCTGCACTTACACCAGCTGAATAGACTGAGGAGGCTTCTCCCAAGAATGACTCCTGCTTCAATCTAGCTGGCCAGTTTCACACACCAGCAGCCCACAGGGAAACCCTTCCAGCCTTGCCCCCAGGGTTCTCACTAATGTCTATAAATTCTAAGGTCATGGCTTTCCAAGAACCCATGAATCAGAAGCCACCTTATCAATCATGGATGGCGTATTTAAGGAAAGCCAAAAGACGAAGGCAAAACTATTCAAAATTTTGGAATAAACTGAATGGTCAACTCCTAAAAACCTATATCCTCAGAGACTTGGAACTTCACACCTTTTAGAAGGCTCCTTGCTCTAGTGATTTATATAAAAGGAGGGGAAAAACTGCTGTCAGTTCTTGAAACTAGAAATGTCTCATTTTTAGTAATGGAATTGAGGGGCTTAGAGAGGCTACTGAAACACAAGGGTCTGCTCTAAGCTGAGGATGCTGTGAGATATCTTCTTCTGAGGTTTGGCTAACCTTAGAAGCATTGTTGTCATTGTGAGAATGAAGAGGGATCTTTTGCAACTTAGCTGTTCTCATTACTGCTCTTTCCTCAGATCTGGTCCATGGACTGGCTTTTTCAAACAGGGGCAAGTATGGTCCTTGAGAAAAGGAGACAACATATTATTATATACTCTGCTCAGTGCAAGTGTTCCTATGGCTGAAAAAGGGGTTGGGAGGTCTTAGAATCCTTAGGCTAGTGAAAATCAAATGTTGATTGCTTAAGATTTATCTGCACTTGTTAAAATGCAGACCTCTGGGTCCCACTTCAGTAAATTTGGGGTCTGCCAAGAGTCTTGCATTTAAAAGCACCCCAAGTCAGTTTACATCTCCTCTCACCCCCTGTCCCTCCAGGGACAGTGGTTGCCTATCAGAAAGGAGATTCTAATATAGTCAGGACCACTGAGCTGTGGTAGCAGTCCGGGCACATCAGCACTTGGCTAGGGTGAAAGCTTTTAGAGCCAGAGTCATAAGTTTAAGCTGCTATCAGAAGTAGTATCATCTACCATTGGATCACTTTTAAAATGCTGAGGCATTATTCTAAAGAGTATGGTTGCAGCAATCTTTGGTGGACACTCCATGCTACCTGGACAACCAGGATTAGGGAAATTATTCCTAATTTTGGACTTTCTTCTCTGATGAGCAATAATTTGGTCCTAAGCAAGTCTTTAACAATAGGGCAAGACTGTTACCACTTGTTTGCCACACCCACTTTTGTTGTTGTTGTTGTTTGAGTCAGGGTCTAACTCTGTAACCCAGACTGGAATGCGGTGGCATGATTATGGCTCACCTCAGCCTTGACCTCTTGGGCTCCAGTGATCCTTCTGCCTCACCCTCCTGAGTAGATGGAACTACAGGCTCATACCACCACATCTGGTTAATTTTTAGAATTTTTTTGTAGAGATGGGGTCTCATTATGTTGCCTAGACTTGTCTTAAACTCCTGGGCTCAAGTTCTTTTGGCTTGGCCTCCAAAAGTTTACAGGGAGGATTATAGATATGAGCCACTGCACCAGCTTTTGAGTAGAAATGCCCAGGGAGTACAGAAGTCTGCAGCAGGGAGGCCTCTATCATCAGGCAAACCCTCACTCTGGTGTTTAGGAGTGGCAAGCAATTCTTCAGAGGCCTAAATAGCTTTACTTTCCTCTGTTGATTAGTGGGTCACAAAGGTCTCAGAATAAGGTATTTTGAGGTTTCTGACAGCAAGCTGCCTGCTAGTCTATCTTGAAGAATAGCCTATGTACTTATAATTACCTACTCCTCACAGCCTCTGAGGGGATTGACTTAATGGAACCATCAGCTGCTATTGCAGTTCTTTCTGTTACTCTCTCCAGCCCCTTTCTTTTCATATGCTAAGAACTGCCTCTAATATGGGTCTAGATCTAGCTAATCCATTGCCGAGCATCAGGCTGTATGTGTACATTCCCCTCATGCACAGGTTGTACGACAGCTTGGGCCTCTTTCTTTTTTTTTTTTTTTTTTGAGTTGGAGTCTCACTCTGTCGCCCAGACTGGAGTGCAGTGGCCGCTCCCGGCCACCGCAGCCTCGACCTGCTGGGCTCCGGTGATCCTTCCGCCTCAGCCTTCCGAGTAGCCGGAATTACAGGCATGCGCTACCACGCCCGGCTGATTTTTTGATTTATTGTAGAGATGAGGTCTCGCTGCCCAGGCGGGTCTCGAACCCGCGGACTCATGCAATCCACTCACCTCAGCCTCCCAAAGGCGTGGGATTACAGGCTGAGCCACCGAGCCCGGCTCGCTTGGGCCTCTTTCAATGCTTCAGAGATTATATATACCCTGCTGGGACCTAGAGTCTCAGATATGAACCATGGGAAATTACCATAGAGGATGCCCTAGGCTCTTTTTCTTTAGATCCAAGGGATAGTCATGGGTTTTGGGGTCAGAGATCTGAAAGAATGGAAGTCAAGACTCTGCATCCTCAAACTAAAGGTGGAATGTAGAATCTGGCTACATCTTTGGCTTTACATTTATTTACATTAAAATGTAAATTTCCACCAACATGGCTTATGTTAGTTAACTTCCTTTGGGAATGCCCATCCCAGAAATAATCATTTATTCATTCAACAGATACTATGCTCTAGTCCTTCTAATTCACAGCTGGAGGACTTGGAACCATAGATAGAGTGCTCATATGAGAGAAATGAATTTAGTCAGGAATTCTAGCAAGTCAGGAATCTTAGAATCAGGCACCGTTTGAGATTATCGATGCCATTCAACCCCTGCATCAGAATTCATTCTTCAGTGCTGTTTATCTATGCCATTTTTCCTATAATAACCCTAAAATTCACCAAAGACAATTTAATGTGTAGAAAAGTTATACTTATAAGGACGCTGTGACATCTTTGGCTAACTTAACAATTGCTTTATTACTTTGGTCTCTTCTTTAGTTATTTCCTTTTTTTCATTATTTTCTTTCTCAAAAAATACAAGATAAGATTAAAAGAATGGGTTACAGCAATCTTGGGGCTCAGAAGAGCTGGACATTTCAGTAAAAAATATAAAACCTCTGAGTTCTTGAGAAGAACATCTGTAATTAATTACAATCTGTCACAGTCAAATATATAGCACTGTTTAAATTCATTCTTTCAGTACTCTAATCTCTATGCTTCTTTTCATCATATTTTAGTAACCTACAAACTATACATTTTTTTCTTGACAGGATTCTAGTTAGTGGTTGCTTGCTCAAAAAATCTCCATCACTGCTCTCTCTTCTACAAAAGGGTAGGATCACTTTAAATGACTAAGGAACTTGCTTTCCAAATTAGAATAACATAATTATCAAGATGTGTGCTTTGAATATTTGCTAACCTATCTATCCTAGTGGTTTTAATATGGCAATATTTGACCCATTGCAGAATGCAGTCATGGAAGAAAATGTGCACAAGATAAAACAGCAACTTATGACTACCCAAGATGTCTCTAAAGATGGTCGCATACAGATGAAAGAGGTACCTTTCATGACTATGTCTTTTGTGACTGTACATTTCTTGACTGTCTTTTTTTCTTGACTTTACCTTCTTGGACGGCAATTTCCTTTGAAAGACAAAGGAAATATTTCATTAGACTGGGAAATTGACTTTCTGCAAGGAAGTTGGCCTAGATAACATTTTTTTAAAAGTAGGATTTATTGAGAGGACAGAAAAGCTCCTAGAGTGGGAGAGGACTCAAGGGAGTTGCCCAGATAACATTTTTGAATGTGCAATTCTTTCATCATTTTCTTTTGGTCAACCAGTATTTGTACCTATTTTTATAATTGGGAAATTGAGATGATGGAGGTCAATATTTGTCTCTGTATACAGTGTCCTGTTCAAAGTGAACCTTGATATAAGAAAAAAACTTACTGACAATACATGACTTTAAACTTCAGCTTCCAGTCAAGGTGCGAAAGATCTATGACCAAAGGTTGTTAAAATTAAACAGACAATAACTGTCTTTACTTCAACTCAACCCACTTATATGAAGTACCTACTATAGCAAGGAACTGTGCTAAGTGTGCAGTGCCTTGGGTGGTCTGCTTCTTATCTTATCATTCCTCCTTCCAGTTACAAAAAGATTTACAGTCTAGAAAGGATTTCCACATATATTTTGTTATTGTATTTCACAGTAGCTAAGAAGACAGGCATGTAGCATTATCCTTATTTTGCCAAAAAGGAAACTAAGTTACTGTCCTAGCATCATACTGGTCACATAAGTGGCAGTAGTTTAAATGTAATCTTGTTTATAGGCATAAATGTATACAGGTTCATACTATACAGGCATACATTTATTATGTGAAAAGGAGCTAATCTGAAACTAAGATACTTGTTTCATAGTCAAGATTGCTTGGCAGACATATTACCTGATACTTGAAGACCTAATTTCTTGATGCTGCCATACTTGGACAGTCAATATTGCTGAAGAAAATAATAAGAAAATTTTTTCAAAACTATCTCCAAAACTTTTACTCAATGGCAAAATTGTACATGAACCAGCAATTCTCATTATAATTGATATGAAAGAATAAGTTTATCCATCTACAGAAAAATAAGTGCAAGCAGCAAGCTAGATGCACCAACATATCCACAACCACATGCTCACTGATGAATTCTCCAGCCCCTAGTACAGAGCATAGCACAAAGTGGTGCTCAATAAATATTTGTTGACTTACTTAATGAATATATGAAGCACTGTAATGAACTGAAAACTATGTTGTTCTCTCACTAGCAACAGGTAGACATTCCTGGGTAATTGGCCAACTGTTTTGTTATGGAACCCTGAACTTGAGTGTCATGGAGGTTATTGTGTCTAGAGAAACTGATATGAAGGACTGGGTTGTTCCCAAGGCTCCTTAAAACTTCATGAGTCTGTGAGTCCAAGGAGTAGCCAGGTCTTCTGTTTTCCCTACATTCGCCTGCTGTACCATTGACCATTTAACTTACTCCAATAATAGATAGTTGTAACATCAAAATCAGCCTACATTGACATATTTTAGATATTCTAACAGAAAATAAGACAGGAAAAAGCCTCAGATAAAAGTCAAAGTGAGGTTTGGGGATTATCTGTATATTTGGTTTGTCCAGGTCTTCTCTGTGTCACTCTAACCAAAACTGAAGACAGAGTAGGTTCTAAAGACCTGGCACATGTGAATTACATTTTAATTGGGTTTCTTAGTATGTGCCACTTGGTATGAAAAACGCTCCTTAGTCCTTCGTCCTAAAAGCAGTTCCTAGTTCTAGTTGATCTTGTGTGGGTTGGTGGGAAAAGCATAAAAAAGTCAAAACAGTGGAATATGAAACCTTTGGAAAGTTACTTTATTACTCTGAGCTCAATTTTATTTTCTTTACCATCATGGCAATTATTGTTTACTGACTATTTAATATGTGTCAGGTACTTTGCTAAACAGTTTATAAATATTGACTCATTTTACTTTATCACATAAACACCAGGATGTCAATATTATTCTCATTTTATAAATGAGGAGATTAAACCAAAGAGGTATCAATTACATTGCTGAAGATAAAATAATTGATAAGCAATGAAGAAGAAATTTGGTTCTCCTCCAAATTCTGTCACTTACACATTGCATTCTACTGACTCCATTGGTAAAAGGGGGTTATTTCAATTTATCTTGAAGAATTGATATAATAATTTAATGAAATGGTAAATTAAAATCCACTTGCTCGTGTCCGCTATGTAGTTGGTACTCGATATATGGTAATTGTTATTTACATGATGTGTCCTTGAGCTGACTCATATCCCATTGGAGAATGTGAGTGGGACTGTGAATTAATCATGCCTAAAACCCACCAAGAGCATTTGCTCTGGACTCATTCTGTGGCATTGCTTGATATACTGAACAAACTACTCAGTTATAGAAGGGATCATTATTTATGGGAATAACTCAGAAAGAAGACAATATGCATTACAATACCCTAGGCTTGGCAATGAACCCAGCCAGACCAGCATATACGCTCAAACAAGTGTTATGATCATATAGGGAAAGAAGACATTATCTTTGTTCATGGGAGTGAGTGAAAAAAGCAGTGACACTGGTATTCATATAGAAAGTTGGTTGGTTGAATTTATCACCCTTGAATCAACTATTGCAGTATTACATAGATAATAATAATGTAAAAGAATAAAACCATAGCTACCAATCAAGAATCAAGCCAGACAGCAGTCTTTTCTGCTATTGCACTGAAGTACTGAATAGAGCATCTCACCAGCAAAGCATGATTCAAAGTGTGGGCTTGGGATTTCCAGGTTGAAGTCCTGACTTCACTACATACTAACTACACAACTTTGGCAAGTTTCTTATCTCTGTGAGGCTCAGGTTCATTAACTAGAAAATAATAGTTATGGTATGTTGTGTACCCTATAGGTTGTTGTTAGGATTAAATGAGTAAGTATACGTAAGCATTTAGAACAATGTCTGGCACAAATAAGCATTATTTACTATTTTTATTTTCTGTTATTATAGAATTAAATTAATTTAACATTGGAAGTTCTTAGAATAGTGCCTGGAACACATTAAGTACTTAACTAATTTATTACTGATAGTAATATAAAGTTTATCATTATTTTAAAATGTAAGCTCAGGAAAGGCAGATATCCATAGTGTTTTATACTGGTAAGTATGTGACACTTTTTGAAATAATCAATGAATCAAAGAATGACAATCAAGAGCACAAAACTGCGAGCTGAGCTCTTTGTCCTGAGCAACCTGAGCCTTTCTGCCCTGTAATATGTATCACCATGCCTTTTTACAAGGGGATACTCTTCAGATGGACACTGGCCAGTGTCCCTGAATACCATTCTTCCTGTTCCTTTAGCTTGCCTGTATGTTCTTGTCTGAGGATGAAAACTTTCTTCTGCTCTTTCGCCGGGAAACCCCCTTGGACAGCAGTGTGGAGTTTATGCAGGTTAGTGTATGATTGTGTCTCTATGGTGAAAAAGAGTTGAAGCCATCTGCTGTGGCTGCCATCACTCTTGCCCAGTACCCAAGGGAGAACTGTGCACAGAAGATAAGATCAAGCAAAGAAGACAGGATGTTGACTGGCCTTAAACCCTGGTGTTCTCTCAGTGTTGGCCTGGGCTGCTCCTGAGCAGATGGGCCCCTTTAGCCTGGACTGGAGGAAGCCCTAAGGCTAATTCTAAGTCCTTAGTCTAAACAAGGGGCCAGGATTTGGGGGACTGTGGAAACTGGAGAGCATGTGCCTCATCTGAAGTCAATAGCTCTGTGGAGCTTCAGTGAAATGTTACTTTTTGGAAATGCTGTCCAGAGATCTAGATGCTACATAAAACTACCTGTTTTTAAATGTTGGCAACTAATTTTAGTTTTGAAGTCATGGTAAATAGTCAAAACATAAGTTTTTAGAGCGCTGATCCAGCCCACAGTCCTGTTTGCAAGCACTGGGCTTAAATAAATGCTAAGGCAGAATTAGTGGCCTTCTGGGTTTCCCTTTGGGTTACTCCCTCTCTCAGCCTTGAGATGTTACTGCTTTGTTGGTGAAAAACGATCAGGGAAGGGCAGATCAGGATTTCTCCAAGGCCAGAGCAGCAGTTTCAAGATAGCCACTGTATCTAGGGCATCACTCTGGAAATTGTTTTGATGTCTCAATTTAGGAGATTAATAACTTAGCGTCCTGTTGCACTATCTTGTTTACTTTCATGTGAAGTTGAGGAAGCACAGTAGTAGGTAATTTACAGAAGAAATTTGAGTGCACATGAATATATGCCTGTAACTCAAGAAATGCAAATTAAACAACTTTTTTTTTTTTAACCAAAGTGATATAGATTTTAAGAGAATCCACAACAATATGCAATGCTAGCAAGGAGGCCTGGAGTTTTGTTGCTAATGTTGGTAAGCATACACTGTGGAATAATTTTATGGAAAGTAATTTTGAAACAATTCAATCAGGATTCTTTAAGATTTCACTATCCAGAGTTAATGGTTTTTTAAAAAAAATCTTTACCCTTTGACTTACTAATTCTACTTCTCCAGGATTCTATCTTATGGTTAAAATTAGAGAGGTAGACAAAAGTTTTCTATGCAATGATGTTTATTTAATGTTGCAGTGTTACAGTTCAAATTGAAAGTAAAATAAATGTCTAACAATTTTTAAAAAGTTAGTTATGATACATTCATATAATTCATTTATTCCCCAAATTCTAATGAGTGCTGCAATGCTCATTAGGAAAACCCTATTGTTGAATATTATGCATCAGTGAAGATCAAGTTTCAAAGAATATATAAAGATAGAGAGGAAATGCAAAATAAAGCTAAAAAAAATTGTATACTCAGTATGATCTTAACTTTGTGTAAAAAAGTATTTACCGGAATTGTATCCCACATCTTTAAAAAAAATTGTAGGAATGAATTAGGTTTACCCTAATACCTGCATAAATAAGGTAGTAGGTAAGTACACATAAGATAAATATTGGTTGTTTACAAGTGGTAAAATTTCAGGTGATTTTATTCTTTGTACTTTTATATATTTCAATGTGTATATGATTATAATTATTTCAAAGTTACTTTAAATGACATTTTAAAAATGAATTTAACTGTGTTTAAAATGATCACAGAACAGTTTGAATAAAAATAATAAATAGATCACTCAAGTGTATAGACAATATGACCTTCCATTCAATTTTGTTGTGTGTGTCATAGAAATATAATAGAAATAAAACACATAAAAAATAAGTAATTATCTCTGAGGTAAGAATTCCTGGAGATTGTAAAAGTCTTCTTTTTATACTTCATTAATTTTGTACAGTGTACATGGTTTACTTTAATAATCATAAAGAAAGTATTAAAATATTAGGCCTTGTGTAGCTTAAATTATCTTGAAAAATGGGAAAAGCAAATGACACTAAGGGTCTTTATTATCTTTTTTTAAGAAAAAATATTCTATTTTGCCTTACTTTCTAGGTTGTCATTTTATTCTATAAAGAAGAGCTTTCCCTTACTTCAGCAAATTTTTTTTTTTCAAAAATATCATTGTGGATTCTTAAATTCTTTTTTAAAAATTAAAATTGTTATAGGCTGCTTAGCACAGTGACTCAAGCCTGTAATCCCAGTACTTTGGGAGACTGAGGCGAGAGGATTGCCTAAGCCCAGGGGTTTGAGACCAGTCTGGGCAACTTGGTGAAACTTTGTCTCTACAATAAATCAAAAAATTAGCCAGGCATGGTAGCCTGTTGTTCTAGCTACTTGGAAGGCTGAGGCAGAAGGCTCGCCTGATCCAGCAGGTTGAGGCTGCGGTGGCCGTGACAATGCAACAGAGTGAGACTCCAACTAAAAAAAAAAAAAAAAAATAGTTATAACCTATTATATTCTCTATATTTTAAGCAATTCTAAGTTAATGTCATAACTTTCCCCTTAAACCATAGGACCTTAACACATTATAACTCTTAATATACAACTACCAACTCACATACCATTATTGTTCAAGGTATTCACTGTATCTTGTTTTCTTTAATGCCACAAATTTTATACAATCAAGATTTGTTTCAATTTGCCCTCATGTCATCACATGTCACATTGCCATCATTGCCTTTGCTCACCATTCCTTTTCATGTTACATCTTCTTCCTAGAGTATACTCTTTGCCAAGAGTCTGTTGGTAAAAAATTCTGCCTTTGTTTGTCTGAAAATCTCTTTACTTTACCTTGATCCTTTAAAGATAATTTTACTGAACATCCACATAGAAATATTTGTTCTCCGATAGTTTAGCTGTTGTAAAATCATAAAAGAACTTAGATCTTGCTTGGAGAATAGCATAAAAAGGTATATAAAATTGCTCTTTTTATTATTTGAAATTCTCATAGTTTTGTGATATTCACATGAAACAGTCAGAATACATATCACATTTAAGTCATTGATTGTGTAAATCTGGCTAGATTCAGACACGAATGACAGAGACTGAAAAGAGTGATATTTTTGAATTCTTCTCACTAAACATCAGCATCAGTGTCAACAACTCCCACTATCCCAGTAGGGTCTGAGTACAGTTTTCTGATTGCGGTTTAAAGTTAAGGTGCCTGCAGTTGGTAACACAGGAAGACCATTCAGGATCTAAAGAAAAATTGTTAACTAAAAAAAATTTCATTTTGTACAAGAGTTAGGGAGCTTGACAACTGATGCAAGGCCTGTTTATGAAATAACCAAAAGTGGTCAGAATAACAGCATTTATTGAAAAAAGCAGTTCACTGCTTTCCTCAAAGACTTTGAGTGGTTCTGATTCCCAGTTCAGTAATTGTATCTTCAACTGAATGAGTGCTGACCTCAAACCAATGAGAGGAATGGCTTGTCCCTGGAAGTTTTCAGAGGTATTATATCCCATACACCAAAGTCAAGGTCATACAGGCAAGATTACTTAGGGAACTTCTATGCAGTGTTTTTTTTTTTAAGTTCACCTTTCATTAAGGTTTTGCTATTTGGAGTTTTAGTTTTAAGCAGGTACCTTAATCTGATTTTCCACCCTACCTGAGCCCTAGGACTTACCTCCTGTGTACCACATGTGCAGTGTTCTGATAAAGTTGTGGGCAATGTTGCTAGGGATCTGCAGGTATACCTGGGATAGACTTTGGTTTTAGTCCTACATTCCCTCTCTAGGTTTGTACTTTCCCATCATGATGGGTTTCTTAGAACTCCTCTCACTTTCTTGCCAGCTCAGTCTTATAATTAAAGAGTTGTTTTTATAGTATCCTCCATTTTTAGGTGTTTAGTACAGAGGAGATTTTCATAGTTTATCATGTTGCCCCAAATAGAAGTCTATCCCTTCATATCTTTTCCTTTTGAGCTTTCCAAAAGGATCCTTTCATTGAAAGCACTGTGGTCCACCTAAGTGGCTCCAAGTGAATGCAGAGATCCATTTCCAGGGAGTTCTGCCCAAACAATTGGTGTCACCAAAGAAAGCCTAAAATTTTCTATAGAAAGTAGAATTTGCATCCAGTTAAGTATTGTTTTTAGGTGCTGAACTACAGTTGACACCAGTATAATTATTCCAAATTATTTGAGGATAAATAAAGTAATGACTTTTGTGTATTTCAGATTTGGCGAAAATATGATGCTGACAGCAGTGGCTTTATATCAGCCGCTGAGCTTCGTGTAAGTGTTTCTGGGAAACATCACTGGGTGAGGAGTAGGTTTGTTCATCACTGAGAATTTGATATATGTGCATCATGAATTTGATTTCTGTCACCCCCCCAAAAAAATGACTTTGAATTTGTTACTTAAAAAAAAAAAAATCTGTGTTAAAAGGTTTAGAAAGTGCAGGTACATTGTCCTTTCTAAGAAAGAGGCATAGTTTATCATTTATGACACTTTTTTCATTCATGGAGCTATTCCCCGGGCTCCAGGAGCTCCCTGTAAACAGTGACAGCCCTCTATTCTTGGATTTATTGCTTGCTAAAAGCTTTTATTTTCTTCTTGAGACAAATAAAACATAATTCTTAAAATAAAACTTTTTGAGACTTTTGCAGTTTATTTGCTCGCAATATAAAGTGTAACTCTTTGCTTGGTGTCACAGAACTTCCTCCGAGATCTCTTCCTTCACCACAAAAAGGCCATTTCCGAGGCTAAGCTGGAAGAATACACTGGCACCATGGTAAGTACCAAGTAGTATAATCTGCATGAGGTCAGTTTCCCTAATGTCTCCCCAGAAAGTGTCTGGCACTTTCTGAAAGTCCTTGACAAATGTTTGAAGACTCAATTTACTCATGAAAAAACCTCAACTCTGAAAAATTAAATTAAATGCTGACTAAAATTAAGCTGTTTTAGTCTCTCTCAGGACCAGATTGCATATGTTTGGGAGAAAAAGCTATTCCTCTGTCCCTGGGGAAACCTGAAAAGTCCAGTCAACATTAGGTTTCTAAGCACCAGGCCAATCACTTCACTGTTAATCAAAGTCTCATAGAAACAAGTAAACACAGCCCTAGACAATCAGGATCCAGAGGGAAGCTACCTCTCACTGCAGTGAATGATTCTACTCATTTAGTATGTTGATTTAGTGGAGTAGGGAGTCAGAGAAATGGGGTGACACTTACTAGCTATGACCTAGGAGAAATTTTAAGCCTCTCAACTTTATTTATTTCTCATGTAAAATGGGGATTAATAGTACAATTACTGTGAGGGCAAAGTGAGTTGATACATATAAAATACTTTGCATACTGTCTAGGATAGGAGTGCTCAAGGCATGTTGACTCATTGTGGTAGTTGCTGTGGTCCTTGTTGTCATTATTTTATGTCCCCTCATGGCATCCTTGTCACTGATGACCTTCAGACTATCTCAGTGTCAAGCTCTTTAGAAAATGAGGAAGTAGGAGAAATTGTCTTTGGTGAACTCATCCTCATACTCTGTTTCAATATCTAACTTGATGTATTTCTCCCAGTACTAGTCAACATTTTTATTAAATTTGATCTGGCTCCTCCATCTTTTGCCTTCCATTCCTATGTGTATGCTTCGTCCCCATCAAACTCTGCAGGATTCTTAATTAGTAAGCAAGAAATTTACTGATAAAGGTTTAATTACTTGTGGGATTGGTACATTTACTATGTAAAGAGTTCTTGAGCAGAATAACTTCACTGAACCGTGTGAATAATCGGGGACACATATCACTGAAAAGAGTTTGTGGGTTCCTGTTAAAATGTATATCACTAGGTTGATCTATTTAGGCCTTTAATTAGTATTTCCAAATACTATATCATTTCCAACAACTTCTCTACAATGTTGGCATTGTTCATGCTATTTTATTTATTTTTTATCAATATTTTTTATTATGGTTTTGTGGGGTACAGTTAAGGGTTAGGTGTACAGTTACGTTTCATTCAGGCACCCTGTTGATAAGAGGTGTTTCCCCATCCCCAGACAGATATTTGCTACTGTTAATTCCATCCCCCCCCATAGTTTCCTAGTACCATCAGTCATTTTCTTATAGTATTACATTGGATGTTCAAGGTCCATTATATGAGTGAGAACATGTGATACTCAGATCTTTGTTTCTGTGAGAGGTCACTCAGTATTATAGACTCTAGTTCTGTCCAGGTTGTTCATGCTATTTTATATATTTGGTGACTAAGGCTTAGAAAGGGTAAGTGGGTAAGTGGGTAAGTGACTAAGTCACCACCAAATTGAATTCTTAAACTTATTTTAAAGACCAGATAACTGAGAGAAGTTATTATTTAACCAAAGGTGCCAGTTAAACTGGAAGTTAAGCTCTCCCGGTTTTCATCCCTTGACACTTCTTGACTTATACCCTGGACTCTGACTACTCTGAATGCTGCCCCCATCAAGTGAGCCTGTGCCAGAAAGAAGGAAATTGCTCTTGACTATGATAACTTGTACATGGCCTGGACAGGAGAAAAGCAGATGCCAAGGAGGGAATCAAATGTCAGAACAGGACCTTAATTAGGGAAATAATTCAGCTTCTTACTATATTGATTCATTTTAATAGCATGCAAGATGATGTCTAAAATCCTGAATAAATATGTGCTCAGCAGTAAAGCGTGAAGTGGGCAGTCCTCCAGAAGTGGGAAGCAGTTTCCCAACTACAGGAAAATCTTAGGTTCCTTTTGACCTAAGTTCAGTAAAACCTTCTAATAGAATGAATAATATGAAAAAGGAAATTCAGAAACTGCCTGGGGACAGAACAATAAAGAGATGGCTTTTCTAGGTGAGCATATTTTTTATATTGATTTAACAGAACATTAGCACTGGCTGTTGTTATCTCAATTTTATTGACTTAGAAAACATGAACTACCTAATAAACAGATTTGCATTTAGAATCTCTAGCATGTTGTTGGTATTTCCTTGAATACCTTTGACTCTGAGGGGCTTCCCCAAATCCAACTAACCATACTAAACCACTACTTTTTTTACTTCTTCATATAACTCAGCAATTTTCTTCCTACCTTTCTTCACCTGATTCTTGTTCCTCCTTCAAGATTCAGTTTGGTATGATCTTGTCCTTAAAAAAAAAATCTGCCTTAATCTTCCTGCCCAGTGAACCCCAGTATCCCTTCTCTGTACCCTTTTAGTGTCTGCACATTACTGTCTTAATATCATAGCCATTCGTTTAATTCATTTCACAAATATCTATTACATGCCTATTGTGCTCCAGGCATTATTCTAGTCACCAGGGACTCAACAGTGAGCAAAATTGACAAAGGAGAGACTGACAATAAATAATAAACATACTAAATAATAAATTACATTGCATAAGAGGATAATGAGTGCTATGGAAAAAATAAAAAAGTCAAGCCAGGCTGGTGATGGTAATCACCAGGAGGGGCAGCTGGGCTAGGAGGCTGGGGAGAAGGGTTAATTTTCAGCAGGATGGTCAGGGTGACCCTCTTGGGAAGGAGAGATGTGAAGAAGGACATGGGGAGGGTATGGGAAGTGTAGCAACCCTAGGACAGGAGTGCACGTGGGGTTTTTAAGAACAGGGAAAGATCAGTGTGCCTGGAGCAGAGTGAGCAATGATGAGACTAAACAGGGACCAGATCATGTTGGGTATTTTAGGCCACTGTGAGAACTGTGAGAACTTGGGGTTTTATTCTGAGTGAGAGGAGATCCGCCAGAGGATTTGAAGCAGAGGATGTCATGATCTGACTGCTGTGTTAAGAAGAACTCAAAATGGGCAAGGATGGAATCAGGAAGATCTGTTAAGAGGCAGTTGTTACTGTCCAGGTGAGAGAGGATGGCAGCTTGAACTCAGGTGGGGTAGCAGAAGAGGTGAGAACTAAATACATTTTGAAGGTAGAATTAATAGAGTTTCCTGATGTATCAGGTGATAGTCAAGGATGGCACTGACATTATTTGTTTATGGGTCTTATAACTTGCTATCCTATGACTCCTCAAGGACAAGGACAGCATCTTAACTTCTTGTCTTAGCCCTCATATGGAACTTGGTACTCAGTAACCTGCTTAATGCAAATTAAACTGAATTGTCAGTTGTAACCTAATGGTCATCCATGGCAAAATAAGTAGTGTTTGATTTTGGACTCCTCCTACCTTCTTTGACAGTGTTCCTGGAACCCTGAATCCCCATTATGGCTCTTGCTTCTTTTTGGAGTGCCTGGTGGGTTGCATATTGCACATTTCAGCATTTCACACAGACCCAAACTTCCACAGCAGAGCCTTATATTTAAAAATTCTTCTTTTTTTCTTAAGCCAGACCCTCCATGGCAGAGCCAGAAAATGTGCCTGGAAGTGCTGAAGCACTTTATGCTCTTACTTGGGTTCTTCAATTCAGAGAGAGTCTCTCATCCAGAAGGATTGCAACCAGGGAGAGCATATGAGTCATGAGTCGTACTGAGCCCAGAGGGCAGAGGTAGATAGAGAGACTAAAAGCCTAAGGATAAAAGGTAGGAGGAGCAGGAAAAACAGGAGCTAGGCCTAAAGTGAGTGGATTGAGGGCTAGAGCCAGAGACTGCAGGGGAGAGAGAGAAGAGCAAATTAAAAAAGTCATCAGAGCAGAACAACGTCCCTGTGGATCTGGAATGTAGATTACCATGTTTATTTTCGTAAATTGAGTCTGGAGTGCTCCCTCTTGGCTGATGTTAGGGTCTCAAAGTGATTCAGAGCATCCCCTCTACCGCCAAAGCACACACTCTCGTAATGCTCTTATATTCTTATATTCTCTCTGGCTAGAACACAATCTGGTAAATTAACGCATACAAAGATGTGAATTCAGTCATTTGACAAGTATTTTGGGAGAAGATACCAAGACAGATATGGTCCCCCGCTTCTGGAGGCTTCCAGTTGGGGAAATCTGGCAAAGGAGCAAGAATCCACTCCCGTCTCTCCTTTCGTCCCCTCTATGCACGTTGCTGCCATAGGGCATCAACAATAAGTAGGAGCTGAGATCAGCGTTTTCTTCACTCTTTAAATACAGCAATCTTATTTTGAGACCCAACTGAAATATTTTTGAAAAGTTTTCCTAATTTTTCAAAAATAAGATGTAATAGGGACCCTGTGGATTGTAATGAAACATAAATTCTCTAGCCTCAGCAAAGGCAGAACAAGAAAAGGTAGGGAGACAGGGTTAAAGTTAAATTGTTATAAGATGTTTTCTCTACTGACTACATATGATATTGCATTTCCATTGAAAACTAGCCAGTGCTTATTCTAGTAGAGTATTTTAAGTGTAATAATTCTGTTCACTTTATGTTGTACCCTGTTTGAAGCACTTTTCAAATATCTCATGTGATTCTCACAACCTTATAAATAGATATTTTCTAACTCCTACTGTACAAATGAAAAAAAAAACCACAAAGAATTGCAGACTTTAACTTTTCAAATATGATAAGAAATGGAGTAGAAATTCAGACCCAAATCTGTCTATACAGCTTGTGTTTTCAGCCATAACATTTATACCTAAATGTCTGAATATTAACTCGTTTAAAAAGGAACTATCAAAAAAGGAAAAGCAAAACTCTATTAAGAGGTCAAGAGAAGACAAACCTATGAAGAAAGTGAAGAGCATGGTAAGGACAAAGCCATATTAGGAAGTTTGGATTTTCAGAATATTTCTAAAGACAAGATTATATAGGAGCTCTGACAGCCACAACAAAAGGAGTTATTACCAGAAAAACTAATTTTTCTCC